GCTCTCCTCACCACCTGCCCTCCCGCGCGGCGTCAGCCCTCACCTCCACCGCGCTCGCTTCAACCCTCCCTCGCTCTCCCGGCCTCTTCCCGCCTCCTGCCCGGAGGCACTGCAAAACCAACCCTTTCGGTTTGCCCTAAATGGTGTAATTCTTAAGTCTAAATTCCTGCTTTGTTTTTACCCTTAAGGTGAAACAATGCTCCCATTTAGGAAGGCTGTTGAGACCCCCTGTGTCTCAGGGATGGCTTCTGGAGCTAAGGACTGCAGGTGCAGCAGCAAGGGCTTGTTCCTGAGGGCAAGGCGAGGTGTCCTGGCCTCAGTGATGCCTGCCAGTCACCTGCCTGCAAGCTCTGGGACCTGACGTAGCTCCAGGCTGAAAGTCGGGATCAGTGCTTATAGACACGCCTCATTGATCTGCACTAAGAGCTTTAGTAAAGCATCAAAACAGCATTTAAACTGAGCTGCCTGGCCCACATCATCCAGCTGGGAGTGTGGGTGGAGTGAGCTGTATTCACGTCCTCGGAGTGGGAGGATTGTGTCACGCCGGCCTGCAATATTGAAGAGGCATGGCACTGGCTGAGCTGCTATCTATAACATGGTTGTACCTTTTGAAACAGGACATGCAGCTGTGAGTATGTCTGGAGGTGCGCTGTACTGTTTAGGATCGTAGTGAGAATCTTCTGAGTTAATAAGCTAATAAATTGTGATAAGGAAGTAATAAAATGATAATGCTAAACAAAGATCTGACAGCAGTAAATTGTATGACTTCTTCCTAAGATATAGACTGAGTTTGCAGAATGTATGTTTTGTCTTTTTTCAGTAGTCACATTTTACTTCTTTTTAATATTTGTAGTAACATATTTTTTCACATTCTAGCAGGTGTTCCTGACCATATCAGCCAGAAGGAAGCTCTAGAAAAAAATTTCAGGAAGGGAGAGTTAAAAGTGACAGCATTCTTTGAAATGTGATCAGAGATCTGGTCTAAAGGCCCCAGGAGTTTTTCCCCTTCACTTCAGGAGAGCGAATGTTTGATTTCATCCCTCACCAGGACTATAGGTAAGCATATTCTTAGCCTTAGACATTCATTTCCTAACTCCTGAAATAGGATGTATGCTCCTGTGGTCTTTCAAGAGGTATTTCCACGATTTTGGGGTCTCACGCCTGTATTTTTAGGTTGCATATAAAATTAACCTTTTTAGTGCAATTTCTTTTCCCTTAAAATTTGTTGGCAAGGTTTAGAAGGAGAATGGTTAGTTCTGGCATATTTACATTTAAATAAAATTCCTTAACTATTATTTAAAATATATGTGAATGGTGCCAATATTTAGAAGAGAAAAATTGTTGTGATTCTTACCTGTTGTCACAGGGGAGAAAGGAACCAGCTAAGACTTTTGTTTCTCAACATGCTCATAAATGATCTATATCTCTGAATAAGGGGGTGATGAGTCTCCAGATGATACAGAATGATTGACAAGATTAATGGGAAAGAGCTAGCATGCATTTCTTGCAGTGCAGGCCACATGGTATTAAACAAATGGGTAATAAGTACAACACAACTGAAGTGATACATTGCAACAAATGACTCCATTATGGACCACGTTGCCATGGTGGAGGCAAAAAGAACAGATGGATATGACCAGCTTTCATAGCCGTTTGTGGAGAAAATGATGAAAGCGGACATGAATGCTGACATCTTTCAGAAATAGCCCCAAAGGACCCTGTGCTGTGATTGCAGTCACTCCTCAGCCAGAGCTGTGAGAAAATTTTATGCATGTAATCAATGCAATAAACGTTGGACATTGACAAATTATTCTATTACATTCAGCATCGATGATACACAAACCATATACAAGATTTATATTGACAATATATGAGAGATATATTGACTGTCATGTAATGCCTACACATCTGATGGGTATCTATACATTGCTGAGGCAAACAAATGTAGTCAGAACATATAGTGGACTTCCTGCTTTTGTGATACAAAGACGCAAGCCTGTTGTAAGCTACAGGATATGATAAGCGAGGTTCTGTAATTGTTGCATTTATCTCGCATGGAAACAATAATGCTTGTGTGGTCAGAGCTAAATGTGTTACAGTCATCTTAATGAGTGATACAATACTTAAACATACTTCTTCAATGTTTTCATAATTCAGCTGTTGATGGCCAAAGATAAACCATAAATAGCACTATCTTACTGCGGTCAGATATAAACACAGATCTGTTTAGTGGCGTAGATGGGATCTGCGCAGACCTAAAGAGCAGCAGACATAGATCACTTAGAGTATGAATGCAGAGTGGATATTTGCACTTTAGTGCATGAAGACAGTGTGGTTTCCATAAATAAATATTGCACCTGACATTGCTTACCATGCAATAGGTGATCTTTAAGGTTATTCTGGCCTTTTGGAGGATTTTTCCACAAGTGAAGCATGAACCTCAGTCTTGATAAAAATCGAAACAAAACTACCAGAGATTATTTCACCCTTGAGTAGCAATCAGGTGAGGAGTTTGCTGAATGTGAGGTTGAAACATTGAGAAGATATAAGCAAAAACCAAAAGGGCCTTTTTTTTGTTATAGCTGGTAAAAGTTTTATCGAAAAAGAGGTATTCTTAGTAGTTTGTACTGTGTGAGTACACACATTAGAATTACTGGAGTGCAGTAATTCTGCTCTGGTCAGTCCTGTTTGAAAGACTTTCTTATCCTGCAAAATACAGTCCTGGTACCCCTGGATGTTAAGAGATGCTGGGAAATCAGCCCAGGTTTGTTCTCTTTGACTTTGTGTCATTGACTTACAGGGCTTTTCTAAGTAGATCAGTCTGCTTTGCTGTCTTTGTAGCATGGCAAAACTTGCATAGAAATACCAGGGAGCCCTACAACTGGAGTCAGAGGAACAATTTTAGCAATAGTAATACCTTCATGTGCATAATGACAATGCTAGGGTGTACTTCTAGATGTAAGCAGCTTTTGATCATGTTGCAGTTCAAAACAGGTAAACAATATACCGTGTATATTTACTGTAAAAAAGAAGATCAACTGATAGAAGATTGACCATGATTGATAGTCATGGAGCCTATTGTAATTTGCCTCAGGTAGAAATATCTCTTTGTTTACATGTAGGGAATGTATTACTTCAACATCTGAAGCACCACCTGGCTGAAGTTGATGGTTCAGTGCTCTTTTGGAACAGTATCTGCTAGGGACATATGATTTTCTGGTAGTCTGATAAGAAAGGCATTACAAGAAAGGCAGGCTGGTATCAGCTGCAAACTCTCCTCTATGACATCCCTCCAGGGATCTTCTGGAGTCACTGGAATAGTTAGTATTGGACAGGAAGGAGGCATACCTGGAAAGAGCAGTTCCCAAAATTTCTGTGACTGTGTGGTTCCTTCTCTTTAGAGGCCATGCTGAGTGTTCTTTACAGTCCGTGTCCACA